CACGGGATGAGAAGTCAACGACAATGAAGTCGGTCTGGCAACCCTTGGCTAAAGGGGTATGGAAGTGCAAAGTAGATGGCGTTGTGTTTGACAGGGGGCTCGAGTGGAGGGCCACGAGACAGTTCTAAACGATGAGAGCAGCACAATTTCGAAGACTTTTGTTGACATATTACTACGGGGTTGCCATTCTTCCTACCTCGCGAAACTCCTTGGCTGCCTTGATCCGTTGCTATACCTTTTGAACAACATTTTCGAGCCAGACATTCTAGAAGTTAATACCCAATGTGTGATGAAGGCTCTTGTGTTCCCAACCGAAAATAATTTGAAATTTAGTCTCGTTAATGTAGAACTTTTACACGACATAACATTCCGCTAGACAAATAAATACGGCACATAGATTAACGAGAACAACGAGTTGGTACCCTGAGTTTCGTGTTTAGAAGCACTTATCTCCGAATGCTATTATACTAATCTTTATTGAAGTTGGTTTTCTTTCAAAAATAAATATTTATAGCAAACTATATATTATAAATGGATACTTAACAAACCATGAGGTATCCACTTTCTTGCCTTTGACTTGTAGAGAAGTTTCTTGTGCGTTATGGGTGCGGCGAATGAAAAAGGTTTGGATATGCTTTGCGTGAGTGCTACCATCACTTATAAAGATTATAATTAGATACATACATCCACCTTTTTTTGAATTTTTGTTTTTTTTTCCCACTTAATTATAATTATATAATACACCAATTGATTATATAATCAGTTGAAATCAAAATGTATAAAAAAAAATTAATTTTTTGTAAAAATTTATATATTCATCAATTTAAATAACACGTAAAATTAAAAGAGAGCATAAATTCGACTTAAATTTTTGTAAAGAAATAAATGTATGAATCGTTCAGTTAAGTTGTGATCAGTTAATATCGTCATTTATTATTCTGAATAAATACGCTCAAATAATGGTGTTTTAACTATATTTTACGAGATTTTTTTTAATAAGTGTGTATTATATCTAAATTTATTATAATAAGATACGTCGATCAATTTATTAAGAAAAAAAAAGCACAAGAGCAATATAAGAGAACTCCATAGCCAATGTCTCGTGAAGGGACTATGGATGACTAAAATGAAACACAATGAACTCACCGGCCTCAACCGATAGAAGAACCAGGACATTCTGGGTTAGTTTTAGAAATTGAGAGAGCTAGTGCAACCGAAACCTCTAGCTATTGAATCGAACATTGATTTTAAATAACCAACAATTGTCAATATTAACGTGAAGATATTTGATGTTGAGTCTTGTTATAAAGAGAATGTTCTTTCGGAATCAATAATGACACATTCTTCTAAGAAAACAAGATAAATTGAGACATTTGACATCTTCTTCGATCTAAATTCGACTATTAAACTCGTTATTGAGATAAATTGTTGAACTAGTTAAAAAAAAAAAATTGAATCACGAAATATCAATATTTATCGACTATTGTATCTAAGTATAAAATAACTTCTAAGTGTATAGATTAATCCGCGTCGATTGTTCACGTATTCTCTAAAATTTCAAATTCGACAGTATTTTAGTTTATCACGTAAACTTACACTATATTTTCATCATCGATCATAAATATATAATAATAAATATTATTGTAATTAATTGTTAGAAAGAAATGTGAGAATATATATATATATATATACAAGTTTCTGTCCCTTCGGTACTTGATAGGGGGACACAGTTCTGAGATGAAAAAAAAAGTAATTAGGGTTTAGGCCAAGGCAAGTCTTAGCAGCTCCTGAGAGATGGAAGTGGTACAAAGAGGATCTGACTAGACACACCACTTTGTTTTAATCTCATTTACAATAGATATATACGAGAAAACATCTCATACGATGTTCCTTGTTTTTTTTTTTTTTTTCTTCTTTTCATTTTTGTCTGTCTGCACATGAATATTCACTGATTTGGACAGCTCATACCTGAATATATATTGGTTGTTAATGATATATACATACATATAACCCTTGTTTTTATCTTCAAATTCTCAATCAATTATATAGCAATCGACTTATATGAGTATATATATTACTGGTAAAGACAAAAGCTAACCCATGAATCTGACGTACCCCATTTCTTTCTTTTTTCTTTGGTTCTTCAACGTAAGAACATTATGAATAGACAACTGATCAGGCTGGACTATATATACACACATCCAGAACAAGGGTCTTCATATCAGATTAAAAACTTTAATTTGATTTATGAAAAGAAAAAAGTAAACGTAGTTTGACATATATTATATATATAATTACCAGTAGTTCTATATAGGAAATTAATGGCTGGATCCAAGCTTTTTGTGTTGCTTATTCTGCTGTTAGTTGTATTCTCCAAGTTAGAATGTAGACCTCTTGATCATGGTGATAATCGAAAATTAGAGAGCAGTGATAGCAAAAACTTAACCCGAATCCATGAAGCGTTGCAGGAAAGATGGAAAGGTTTAAAGGCCATGAACTTGGGAGATCACGAAGACGTGGCTTCGAACTCTTATTATTATGACTCGAAGCGTCTCAGCCCCGGGGGACCAGACCCGAAACACCATTAGCATGTCTAGCTAGGTACTTATAATTATTGTTTCTATGAGTTGCTTAGTGCAGAGGTATGGATAGAGACGATGATGGTGGTGATGATGATGATGGTGATGATGATGATGGTGATGATGGTGATGGTGATGGCGATGATGTAGTTACTGCTGACATCTTGAGAGACTTTTCCTTTTTTTTTTTTTTTTTTTTGTGATCATCTTCTGATTCCGCCAACTTTTTCTTTTTCTTTGTTAATCAATGGAAACAAAAATGCAAGTTTCAAGAGAAACAAGATTAATAGTTGTCCCAATTCTGGATCTTTTCCTCTCTTTCTTCTTCTGATAAAAAGATCTATATATATATATATATGTATCTATGCATGTACGTACGTATGTATGTATGTACATATATATGGCGTCTGGATACAGATATATAAGAAATGGAATGTATTTAGAACTCGACGTAAGCTAATTGGCATGAAGTGCATGAAAATATTTTATGACCTATAATGTCCTTTTACTACAATTTTTATATTGAAATTATTTTTAAAATAAATTTTAGTAAAAATTTTGAATTTAAAAGCTGTTTTAATTAAAAATTATTTTTAAAGCATTTTTACTATCTAACGTAAATATCGATGGAACAAAATATATAATTATTTATTATTTTATTAATTTAACAACCAATAAAAATAAATAATATTTCATTAAAATTTTTACGTTAAATCAAACTCTAATTTTAAACGGTAAATTAAACGTCATAATAAATTATTATGCTTTTAAGTGAAACGGATTGAGTTTGAAAATGATTCCACTCTAATTTTTTATGGTAATCGCTAAATGATTGAGTTATTTTAAATAGGTGAGTCTTGCAGTCAAATTCTCTTCTGCCTTCACACTCGATGGTTTAAATCTGTTCGGCCCAAAGAAATATTTATACACCTTTATTATTTTTTGGGAGGTCTACGCTCCATAAAAATTATTTATTTGAAACTATCTCTTGATCCGTAGATCCTGACACAAGATTAATATTCTAATTTTTTCAGATTAGGCTCGAGCCTCTCTAGAAAGAGGCTTTCTTCGCCTTCCACCTAATCTACGTAAAAAAAAAGCCCAAAGCCAAGCCTAGAGAGCAGTGAAGCTTCATAGGATTTTTCTGTCCAAGTGCGGATAATCCGCATTTTCACAAACATGTCTATTTCATTGAACTTTTTCTCTGAAACAGTGCTTAGATCATTACGTTTACGTATGATTGAAATATTGTAGTTTACACTATATAAATTTTTTAATATTTTTATTAAGATCACATATTACACAATCATAAATTATTACTAAACCGACATACTCTGACACAAGATTAATATTCTAATTTTTTCAGAGTAGTATGTTACTAATGGCTCGA